CCTATCTCTGCCATTTGGTGCCATTTTCCTCCCTGAATTCAGCTTAGCCCACAGTTCAGTACCTTCAGGGAGGAAGGTGCCTCCAGCCAAGTAAGCAAAAAGGTGCTTAAGCTACCAGGGTCCTTTTTATCATCAATTATCCCCACTGAAGCAAGCACCCTAGTCCTTTAGTGGTGGCAGGTCATGGATGGACACAGGAATCCAGGGAATACTGAGGTCCTTCAAAAGGACAATTAGCAGAATGCACCAAAGGCACCCAGGCCCACCCAGCTGGAACAGTCTCTTACTCCCCTGGACCCTTCTGTTCATTCATTCTTCTCCCTACCCCTCTCCCCCACCCCATCAGTATAATTCACACAAAGTTGTTCATGAGAAAGAGGAGGAGCTAGCAGTCCTCTACCCAGCATAAATTTGGGGGCCACATGAAAATTAACTGTTAGTAAATGACCAGCTCTGATAATCCTGACAAAGTAAATCTGTTTTCTGCAAGGACTGATGCCTGAGAGTCAAAACACATCACCTTAGAAGAGCTGTTAGCCTTGGGTGGCCCAAGTCCTTTGTTATTGTCAGAGAAGCATTTTTGACAGAGCAGCAAGGAAATAATTTTGTCCAAAGAAGCAAGAACCACATCACATATCAAGACTGGGAACCTGCTGAGCACTGGCAGGGAATACCATTTTCTAGAAGTAGCCCCTCTCCTTCCTTCACTGCCCACCAAAAAAAATGGAACAAGAGCAAACTCCTGCAGAGATGGAACAGAGAGGAAAGAAATCCAGCATCTGTCACCTGGGACAGGTTTATGGTATCCATCAGAGACCTAAAACTTGTAAAAGTTCCTAATCTACATCGTGCACCACTGCAGTGACTCGGACACAAACCTTTTAAAGCTGGACAAAGCACATGCAGAGTCTCACCTTTATTAACAAGGGAGGGAGAAGAGACTAAGAGAGCGAGGATGAAAGAACAAGCACACACAATGCCTACTGTTGGGGATAGGCTTGGCAACTCTTCTAACAGCAGGATGAGCATGTACACTAGGCTGCCATAAAGATACCTAGCATAAACTAACTGATAAATATCACCCCAGCTGACAGTGACAGAGGCTGACAACTTAATGAGTTACTTTATCTTTTGCTGTGTAATTTCATCAACTTCGTAACAGCTTCCCTGCTTACCTTCCCAGCTGTCTTGTGTCTCAGTTCAGGATATGAAAGTGTAGGATAGCAATGTTTATGCTCAGGAAATTAAAGCTACACAATATCTGTTTTAATCATCAGGATATTTGCTTCTATTGTAGAACATATAAACTACCTTTTTTTCCTCCTCTCTCACTCAAAGAGGAAAATAAGCCTTCAGAAAATGACCTTACCTATCATTCAGCCTGAGATTTTAAGTCATATACTATCTGTATTCATAATCAAAACTTTAACTCTTACATTGCCACTTAGGAACCATTGGCAAAACAGCTTGGCAAACACTGGCAAAACAAAAACTAGAACATTCTCAATCTTACATCCAGCATTTGCACAAGACCAGGAATGACAACAGTAATTAAAAATATACTCATTTCACTAAATTCAAGAACCCCAACCCGAGATGTTAATTACATTGAAAACAGCTGGCTAAATAGTTGCTTAATTTCTGATGTTATAAAACTGGTTGCTACAGTTTCACACCCATAGACACAGTATTAGACAATGTGCCCTATTGTCTGTGTTTTATCATCATCAGCTGCACCCCCATTTCCTATCTCAAAACTTCTAGCTGAAATCTCAGCAACCCTCACAAGTCTAGTAATGGCCACATTTCATCAATACTTTTAACTAGACTCCACAGGATCCAGGCTCACTTCACAGGTCTGTTTATTTTCATACCAAACTCAGCTAGCCATTTAGAGCCAGAGCTAACAAAGCACTCAAGCATAGCAATGTTCACTTGCTATAGCCATTTAGAGCCAGAGCGTTAGCTCTCAAAGCACTAAAGCACTCAAGCATAGCAATGTTCACTTGCTGTACAGTGGAAGCACACACCAAATCAGACCTCTCAGATACCCAGAGAATTCAGGAAGCTGTTGCCTACCTGAACAACTCCCAGGAAGTACTAGGGAAGAAAATGGGGCCTTCCATTCCTGGCAGCTGCTCTCTTCCCTGAGCCTGAGATTCACTGATCCTAATTCTAATATATAGTACATGGGTTGCTACTGTTGCTGCCCACCCCTAGTGTCCTCTTGCAGCTGTTTCCACTGGGCAAAGTTAAGCTCTCTCTCTTGGCCACAGAAAAAAACATGTACAGCTGATTCTTGCCTTTTAATCACATCTTTGGCAGAACTTGATAGAACCACCTTACAACCCTTGCTCTAATTAATATTTAAGCAAGTATGTTATGTGCTTATCAGTGCAGAGGCCAGAGCACAACATTATTGTGGATAATGTCACATGGGACATTTGCCAGATCCTTCTGTGCTACTAGCAAAAACACTTCTAAAAACACTTTTTTAAAGTTAAACTTAGTTATGCTGGGAGGGGGCACAGCCCTTGTTGATCTAACACTCAGCACTTGGTCAGGTGCTTATTTCTTTCCTGTCTAACATGAGGGAGAATTGAGCTGCCCACTTATTCCATTTAACTTTTCTTACTGGCCAACAGGTCTGGTCCCATCAATGCTATCCCAAAAGCAACACAGGCTGAACAGCTTCCTCTTGCTTTGCAGTATGTCTGAAAATCAGACCAAGTTAAATATATACATAGAATACATTAAATAGAAAATAGAATTTTTTTAAGAAGCCTCTATCAGTGTACTGAAGCACTAGTTAATAAACCACCCCCATAACTGGGGCAAATACAAATTAGAGTACTTATTTCTAGCAGGTATGTTACAAAATGCAAGTCTTGCCAGCAGCTTTCACTGGGCCAAGAGCCTTCCAAATACCTGCAATCCTTTATCCAGAACAAATATCTCAAGGTGCTTTGCCAAAACAAACCATGTAATAATTGGCTAATAATTACATCAGTTTTAATGACATGAAAAATGAGTATGCTGTATTAAGCTCTGTTGTATACTCACTTCTCAACAGCAACCAACTGGTTAGGTGCTAAATCATCCATCCAACTAGTCTGCTTTACCTTTAGGAGCAAGTGAAATGGGGAGATAAGAATCCCAGCTGCCATCTGATTCAAAGTACTCCAGCTGGTTGCACTTCTTTGTACCCTATTACTTAGTATCCTTCAGGTGAACTAGAGTTTCTTCTGTTACTACTGCTCGACATTCTTTACAGTCCTGTCCCAGTATAATGGATTGAAAGTCTTTCTTAAGCAAGTACATTTATATAAAAGAAAGCAGTATGTGCTCTAGAAGATAAAAATATGTAATTGCATTTAGCAGGTTACAGAGAACTATTCATCTCATCTCTATAATGTTTTCAACTGCAAAATATGCAACAGAAAACCACACAATAAAGAACAACTTTGGATAGGCAGGATGATAAACTTGAAAAATAGCTGTATTTGCCATCAAATCTAGGATCAATGTAGCTGTATCAGCTTTTATAAACCAGTACAAACACAACCAGCACTAACACTGGTATCAGCCCTGTAAAGAAAACTGGCACCAGAATAAATATTGTTGATGTTAATAAGATACATGTTTTATCAGGATTCCTTTGGCAAGGATTTTTGTTCTAATTTATAAAAAATAAGCACCAAAGAGGAGAAGCACAGTAGGTCAGTTAGCGCATCATGCCCTTGCACAGTAGAGACAAACATGTCACTCCAGGGAGGGACAGACATCATAGTATTGTTTCCACACTGGGAGAAGATTAGTTTTCAGATGAAACTTTCCATGGAGATGCCCAGGATTCATAACTGGACTCCCTGAAACTGAGGGGACAAATAACAAAAAAAATGGGATCCCTGTGGTGGGTGGAGGCTTTCAATTAAAAAGATAAAATTCCCTCTTGTATGCACTGCAGGTTTATTTGTTGCTGATGAAATTACTTGCCTACACAAAACCACAATGTCAATACCAGACATACTGGTCACATTAACAAACAAGAGAGCAAATACAAAATAAACAAACAATGCAGTATTTGAAAAGTTGCCCGAAATATTACAGAATACATAGAATGGTTAAGGTTGGAAAGGGACCTTCAATGCAGTATTTGAAAAGTTGCCCAAAATATTAACATAGAATGGTTAAGGTTGGAAAGGGACCTTCACCATCATCAGGTTCCATCACCCCTGCTGCGAGCAGGGACACGCCACTCTAGACCAGGCTGCACAAAGACTTTACAAAAACTATCAAAAAACTTTCATGTGAGATGTTGTCCACACTAATGCTGACTGGCCTGATTCTTCATTACTCACTATACAAAACCCATCTATCAGGACAGAGTGGGGAGAGAAACTACAAGCAATGCACAGAACAAAGTTGCTAACTGGAGAAGTGAAGCTCTGGAACTGCCTTCCAAAATAAGCAGATAGTGCAAAAAATGTACTTGTTAAGATAGAAAGCAAGTGATTTTTAAGAGTGCTTGGTTTACCAAAGTGACCTTCTTTAATAACCAAACAGTTTTTACTTCAACTATATCGTAATATTACAATTCTCCAACACAGTAAGTTTGCAATAGTGTGGTGCATGCACTATAGATCACTACAGTAAGTACAATGCAATGGAGCAGTGGACCAGAGTACAGAGCTTAGAAACAGGCAGAGTTTGAAGTTCACCGTCATTCAGCTTTTGGAAGATCCTCACTGAATAGGATGAATAGTCTTAACATTGACTTCCAGTTCTGCCCACACTCTTTGTAACGCCACAGTATTAAGAAAAGTATTATTCACTACACACTATTGAAGAATACAAAAAACAGTATCTAAGGTGTTAGATAACTTGACCAAATCACTTTCTGTTAATACTGAAAAGGGCTTTGCTGATTACAGTTTGCTTATTAAACAAGAAGACCTCCACAGGTCACCCTCATAGCACATGTGTTAACAAATCAGTACTGAGACATTTATTCAAATAACTGCCACATCACAATGAATGAATACTAAATACAAATAACTTGACACTGCTGACAAAAAAAAAAAATACTGAATTGTTAAACGGATGATCTCATGATCTGGCATATTTTGCATTTTAGATCTCATAGTTTCTGAATTTTCTGAGAAGCTCTGATGGAGCATCCCCGGACCACCGGAAACGTAAGTGCCAGTAATTTGCCTCTGAAAATCCTGAGGGGAAAAAAGAAACACAGAAAGGCAAGTAAATTATTATAAATATGTGTAAAACTAAGTTGTCTGAAATAATACCTTATATTCTTCCCTTGAAAAAGTAAGCAAAAAAGTGCTTTTTTCTAGCAGGGATAGCCTTTGTATTCTTAGCCCCATTTGAACAAATGCTCAAGCAAACACCTACCTTCCAGATATGTATCAGCTGGGAAGAGGCCAAAGAGGAAGAGGAAGCATGATGGCAGTCCAGAAAATAGGATTTATAAAGAAAAACTGAACAAATTGCCTTTGCTTAATGTAGAAGAGAGAGAGGGTAACATGATAAATCTCCACAGATGTGAAAGGCAGCAATGTGGAAGGAAGGTACAAATGGCCCTCTCCCCACACAAAGGAATAAAAGAGTTTTTCAAACTGTGTTTTTATCATTTCCAGGCTGTTAATACTAAAAAAATTGTGATTTTCCTATGTCAGAAAGCTGAAACCTATCACGAGACTGTCTTAACATCTCTTATTCAGGAGGAAATAGCTACATGGAGTTTTAGTCCAGAATCCTTACAGCCCAAAAGACAGTAACTGCAAAGATCTCAGTTTAGAAGTGGAATCCAATATAATAAATTTCCTGCACCTAAACAAAAACACTATTAATATCTTAATATCAAGTATCAACACTCAAGCACATAGCCTATCAAAAATATAATCTGATATTAACTTGTATTAATAAATGCCCACTGGATAAATTAACTGCACATTTGATGGGTTTGGTTTTTTTTTTTCCTCATTCAAATCCCTGGAAATTCAATTAAAACTTCAAAATATTATGAAAAAGAAGATGCCTGCAAAGAAAGCTCACCATTACAATGAACAAGATGATGTTCACTTTGAAATTTTACTGGTTTACAAGGATACAGTGATGATTTAATTAGCAAAAAACCAAACCAAAACAAATAGTATAATGTTATAGAGCACAATTTTAAAATATAAAATTTTCAATTATGCCTCATATATATTTTTGGTAGGATTTTCTTATCTATTTTCTTCTCTTCCACAGAAGTTTGGGATTAAATTCAGTTTTGCTACCTTCACAGTTCAACTTAATTTCCTGTTTGATTAAGCTGGAAAGCAACAACAGGATTTTCTGCTCACATAAGCCTAAGATTATGAAACTCGTGAAGGATCAAGCAGAACAGAGGGTGGCTGTTGTGGAAAGTCAACTTTGATCCAGGTGTACTGACAACAGAAAGGAAATCCTACTTGGCCAGATGACAGCTTTTGAAATACACATTTATTCTGGTGCATGCATAAAATCATTAAGGTTGGAAGGGACCTCAAAGATCATCAAGTTCCAACCCCCCTGCCATGAGCAGGGAACCACTAGACCACGTTGCACAAAACCTCATCCAACCTGCCCTTAAAAACCTCCAGGGATGGGGCATCAACAACCTCCCTGGGCAACCCATCCCAGTTCCTCAACACCCTGAGAGTGAAGAATTTCTTGCCAATATCTCACCTACATCTCCCCTGTCTCAATTTAAAACCATCACCCCTTGTCCTATCACCATCTTCTCTGGTGAAAAGCCCCTCCCCAGCTTTTCTGTAGGCCCCTTTCAAGTACTGGAAGGTGTTCTAAGGTCTCCCTGGAGCCTTCTCTTCTCCAGGCTGAACACCTCAACTATTAGCCTGTCTCCAGAGCAGAGCTGCTCCAGGCAAGTACTGAATGATGGATTTAAAAAAATATATATATATTTAACAGTTTTTAACATTTTGGTGTTTTTTTATATCACTAAAAAAAATTGCCTTTTTTTCCCATTTTGATATAACAGCCAAACTGAACTTTTTGGTTTGGTTTACGAATAATTTTTTTCTTCTCCAAGTTTTTTGCTTTACTAGCAAATAAGCAAGCAAATATGGGGTAAGAAGAAAGGTCGGAGAGCTTCAAAATTAAATAAGGAGAAACATAAAAACCAAAACAAAACTCCAACCCAAAACCACATTAAAAAAACCTACTAGTTAAGCACAGTATTCTGGACAAGAATTTAGTCAGAAGAATTTTCTGACTAAAAAGCCAGGCGAATTCCTGGATACTGCAATTTTATGTAACTGCTGGTTTTGCTTACTTGGGGAGTCTGGATTCTTTGAAGACTGTGGTTTCACATCAGGAATTGCAACATCTTCTTGCTCCCTGCTCCCATCTGACAATCCTTCTTCATTGTTTTCAGCTGGTTGGGTCCAAATCTCATCAGTTATGTTGTTGCTATGATTCGAGTCAGGAGCTTCCAGCATTTGGTCCTTCTTACTTTGGACAGCCCAGTGCATTGACTGAAAAAATGGAAAAGTAACAAAGAACTAATTCTCATGCCTTAAAAGATTTCTAATGAACTTCTTCCTTATATTGGTGCAATAAATGGTTAAACAAAGCACATATTAGAGAGAAGCTTGCAGGTCAGTAGGTGGGGATGAAGAACAAAATGTACAAACACAAAATAATTCTAGGAGTCCTTTGTCTAGTTTATTTTGTCATGAATTCTGACACTTTTTGAAGAGGGCTTGAAAATGGGACTTTTTAAAAAAGAACTTAGATAATGTCCATTTTCAGAGCTGTTGTTGCCTTCGAAGTGCCCTTAGAAAACAAGACAATTTGGAAAGCTTTACTGTTAGATCCTGTGGAATGACTTCTGTTTGGAAATGAACTAAGCCTGATGAGATACTTTCAGAAAACACTGAAGATCAGGCATAATGCATTAGCTGAAGAGGCTCTTAAACTTCCCTCATAAGCAGAGCAGAGATGGGCAAAATTGGCAAGGAAAGCATTTATTCATGTCTTAATATCTGACCATGTAGACTTGTAACTATCATTCACCCTTACAAAGCAGAAAAAAATATAATCAAATATGGACTTAGGATCTACTAGGAACACTATCAAATTATCTCACTAGCAAAATTAGGAGGGGAAAAGACCCTTCAGAATATCTGCCACAAATCACCCCAATAGCCTAGCAGGGCCCCTCCAAACACCTATGTGAAGTCCAGGATTCAAAGGAACCTACCTTCTAGATTTTTCCATGAGCTTTTTATTTCATCAGATAGCATGAAAACCTACCTGATAAGCAACATACCAAAAGGAAAATATCACATTCCAAGATCCTAGCTTTGAAAATAAATACAAGGTTCCTACAAAAGCAAAGTGTGCCGAAGCATTTGAAAATAGCCCTTAAGATACTTCATATACTACACATAAAAGCAGCAACTTGATAAATTCACTCAAGAACTACTGGCCTAAAACCCTTCTGAGAAGGGGCTCCTGTAACCTTCCAATTTTCCCTGAATTTCCTCAGCCTCCTTACTGCAGGAAACATTCTTCACTATTCCTGTCCCCAAAACCCGCCACTGCAGAAGCACTGTAACTCATCCCCTCACTGGCTCCAGTGTTTCCTCTGGACCAGCCCCACCTCCTTAGCCCACACCAACCGTTTTCATGGAATTGCTCAGGGCCTCCCACTGCTGGAAAGGAACGACAATTTTGCTTCGGCGCCAGTAATCGTAACGCGCTCGACTCTCTTCATTAGTAAGAATCTCCTTAGCTTGCTGCAGCTTCTGGAAATTCTCCACTAGAACAAAAAACAAAAAGATACTAAAGCCAATATCTGCTTTCAAAGAAATTAATTCAGACGTGAAAGAAGAGATGCCTATAATGGCTTAGGAGACAGAAGGAGAGCTGAGTGACAAAGATACATAGTTGTTCTGCTTTCAGCTTTGCAGAGTTTTAGCTGCCTTACGATCACAGCATCCCTCAGTGGACAACTGACATCCTTTCCAAATGAGGACTGAAATGCTCACTTGTCTATTGGCTGCAACATCTCTTAAATTTAAGCTGAGAGAAACTTACAGAGTACAGCAGGCAAGAGGCAAAAGTCACTTCCTGTAGACCACCTCAGGATGGGAAACTGAACTAGATTTAATAATGCTCAGAAGGGACACAAAAGCGACAGCAGCAAGGAAGCCAGCACAAAGCACCACTCCAAGAAAACACAGGAGGGGGAAATGGCAAGGAAAAAAAAGAAAAAAACAAGCAATAAGAGGAATCTAAATGTAGTTCATATTATCTAACTCATGCACTTCATTAGATGTGTTTTCTACATAGGCAAAAAGGTTCTCTTAAGCACCAGACAGCATGAATGAGTTATTTTTCCCCACAGGATAATTTTTCATTAAACAGTTACTAAGGATGCAGCTGCATGTTGCTATTTATAGAAGGGTCATAAAGATTTAGATTTTATCTGTGAGTCACCTGTGTTAGTCATCTTTTATTATTGTTATTCATTCATTCCAGTTTACAAATCAGAGATATCTCTTTTGAAATACACCAAGCCCAAACACTAATCAAAAATTGTAACAGTAAATCAAAAAACAAACAATAGGTTGAGGGAGCAGTTCTATCAGGCTTCCTTTCTCTAGTGACACTAGTTTTCAACAAATTTTCAACACGTGCCACTTGGGGTCCTTTTGGTTTTAATTACTGTGGAGGGGTGGAAGGTGGTACAGACACAACAGAGCCATGCACTGGAATAGGGTCTTGTTTCCCTGCTGCAATAGCCAGAGTTTTCTGCAGAGAAAGGGGATTCCAGTGGTTTCATTCACGCTTGTGCCATCATTTAAAATAGATTTAATATTAGTGATCAGATTATGGTTAGTATGTGGCAGATTGTCTTTCAAACACCAACTCTCAGGGGGTTCCTTGTCAGGGAATTGTCCCCAAATAACTCAGGTGCTGCTAGGCCATCACAGGTCTGAGGAACTGCACCCTTTGATCAACACAAAGGGTAGCTGCTGTTCTGCAAACAGATGGCTTCTCTATTTCCAGCCATTACATTCAATTAAAAGAAACTAAAGTACATTAAATGTGTTCCTGATGGGCTTGTTTATGGAGGCACAGAAAGGAGTTGACGCAAGTGAGGCACTTGAATGGCACTGAGCATGGAAGGAAGCTGACTCCTTAGGTCTAGAAAGGGATACACTCCATCAAAAAAGTCTGGACTAAAAGATGCTCTACCATAGAAGGAAAAAAAGATTTGAAAGTCCTGTGTGTGTGTGTGTGTGTGTAAATAAAGAAACCAAAAGGTAGCTTCCTGATCTACCACCTAGGAGTTTGCATATGTAAGAAAATAATAATAAAGCTTGCTATTTAAAGACAATATGCTCAATACACATGACAACTCAAATATACTGGGGGAAAAGAGTATTTAATAAAGCTTTGGGGCTGAATTTAGTATCTTAGTGATGTTAAGATAAGAACAGATGGTTTTTAAACAGGGAAGAACACTTACCTGCTTTGGGGTCTCCAGGATGTTTGTCAGGGTGACATTCAAGGGCTTTAACCTTAAATTCTGCAATTATTTGTTCAACCTAAACAGAATGGCAAGATTTGAAGTGAGTAAATACATACACACAGATAAGATTTTCAACCTTGCTTTTTGAAGGGGGCTGGAAGGAACAACAAAGAATGTTGCAAGATTTTCTTCCTGTTCATTTTTACAAGCTTTTGCTTTACAAGCAAAACAGGTAACAACAACCAGATGTCAATGAAACTGTTTATTTAATTTCATTTTCCACCCACTCTTCCTTATTCTTGTTTTTGTGAATCTCAGTCATCCAGCATGGCAAGTTGGCTTTAAGGAAAATGGGGAAAGACCATGTATGTGAAAACCTTCCCTCACATCTGACAAAATGCCATGACTTGAGCTGTTCTTCACTTTGTTTCATCAACTCTAACTGTTAAGCAACTCTCACTGCAGGAAGCAAAGACCTTCTATATTGCTGAAGATCAGTTTGTGGGATTGGGTGGCTTTCTCCATAGGAAATTTAGCCAGTACCACATGACTTTTCCATTTTGGATACCACAAAGCTAGATAACTAGCAGTTCCCATTCTTCCCATCAAGGTTATTTTTTGCGCAAAGCGTTGGCTTGGAATAAACGGATACATAAATTATTAGAATAAATATTGGAATCTCAGCTTGCATTTGTTGATTTCCTACACAGTTTATACATAAAGTATTATGACAACTGGGAAAACAAAGACATATTAACAGTTAACAAAACACAGAAAAATACTGGAGTGGGCACCAGCTTAGATTATCACATTTCCAGATTTTTCAGAGTATCTTGCTTCTGATTGTAATCCAGAAGCCAAAACTCCTTTGTACCTTTCCAGTACAGCTTAAGTTTTCACAACAATTTGCCCAAAGATATTAACTAGCTATTATTTCCCATGCTAGAAAGGCTGTTCATACAAATTCCTCATCCTTCAAACTCCATATACATCCATAGCTATATACAGTTAAAATTATTTAATTCAAAATTAAGGCTCATAGCCTTTCTTTAGGAAAAAAAAAAAAAGTACAGTTCACTTAACTAGCTGGCAAAATGCTGGTGTCATATGCTGGGAAAGATGTGGTCTACAGTGGTATTTTAGGAATTCTCCACTTATTGCTTTTTTCAGTATCTTCTTCCAGAGGGACAGATGCAAGGTGGTCTATTGCCAGGCAGTAGGACACTTAAAATTACACACATTGGACAAAGAACTTGTTGAAACTGGTTACTGTATAACTAGTCACCATCTGTAAAGCTTAGCTACATAAAAGGAACTTTAAATTTAAAATATGCAGAGCAGCAGAGGGGTAGCATTCAAGTCTTCAGTTAAAAAAAAAAAATCAGTAGAAAGAAGAGTTTGTATGAATTTACAGAAATATATGAAATGTATATAAAATATTCAGTGATATGTTTACTATGAAAGGTATCCAGTATCCACTACACATTGAATAACGCTGCTCCTGGAAGAAGGCAGATTAAATCCCTTCTCCCTTCTTCCTTTCACATCTGAAAATGAACTAGGTGTCCACAAGCTCAATTCTATCAGAAGCTAAGAATGAACACAGGTGTTAACTTGAATACAGGGGAAACCTGTAGAAATTGAGACTATTTGTGCTCTAATTTAACCAGGTCAGATCAAGAGCAGAATATTCAGCACTTCACGTGCAAGTAGAGCAGCTGGGAATGTTCTGCATGTGCCTAAAGAAGGGAGCACAGAATCTGCCTGTGTTGCTGCCAGTAAGTGACTGATAAGAGTCATGCAGTGGCAGAACACTCAGATGCTCCCAATTTCTTGTAAAAGTTGGAAGTAGTTGTGTGCATGGTCCTGAGGGGAGGCAATCACATCCACTTGGGATCTCAGTTCCTTCTCTCATGTCAAAAATTCACTAGCAACATCTGCTGCTTCTCTCAACAAATAATACTTGCCAGGTTGTTTTTCAGGGCCTGTTAGGATTTATTCCATCTTTTTATTTGCGTTTTTAAGCAATGTGAAAAATCATTATCATGTTTATTTGAACTGTTCATGAATTGCTCAGCCCTTAAGGAATTAATGTGAGGTAGAAAAGGACAGAGAGCATCTGCGAAACAAGCCCAGATTGAAACTTTCACACCGCCCTCTGCTGGAGTGACTTTTAAGGAGTTCTCTCAGGAAAACCTTTTAACTGCCTTCTGCAACAGACCGGAGATGCTTACCAGTCTGTTTTCAGTGACAGAAAGGGGTTTTCCCAGCATTTGATCACTAGGACACAGCTGAGAGCATCTGAATGAATTTACTGAGCAAAACACAGCTTGTATCCACTCTGCATATGCCCTTCACTACAGCACAGTCCGACATCAGCCTATAGATCAGAAAACTGAGCTTTGCAAAGGGAGATACGAAAAGGTAGAAGTGGGAAGAAAGATGCAGGTTCACACCGCATTTCAGAGGGCCCTGCCTGCAGAGATCAACAGCTTCCAAGCCCCCCTTCGGACACGCACGTTCCAAACGTTAGGAACCTGGCGGGAGGTGGGGCAGGCTCTTACCGTAGACAGTTCATCACATCCCAGCAAGTTGTAGTAATCCTCCAGGTCATCGGCTCTGCAGTTCAGAATCGCATCCATCTAGACTAGCCCAGCGAGCTCTTCCAACCCGGGCACAGAGGCTGGAACTACACCGTCAAGACAAAGCTCACGCTAGGACTTAAAAGTAGCCCAGGGCAACAGAGGCTTCCCACGCAGCTCCACAGCTCTCCCGCTGCTGTTCAGCGCTGGCAACAGACTCATAGCGATTTTCTTGAGTTCACTGCCTGCCATTGGTCCCTGCAGGATGCCAATCCTGTGTCACCAACCCGCTAATTGCAAGGCTCCCTGGGATTTGTAGTTGCCAAAGCCGCTTCAGCTTTAGACCCTGGGTCTCGTCCAGGTTGAAGAGAGTTCTGGCTGCTAACTAACATCTAGTCGTATTTGAGATGTAGATCACACCATCACTTGTACAGCCCCTTAAGGGCTTCCCTGCACCTGAGCCTGCACTCACTAAAAGAGATTTTCTGCTTAATTTTTACTTGCAGCTTTTGCCAGTCTTTGTCAAGGGGATTACATGGGTAATTACAGCAAATGGCAAGGATTACTTCCAAGAAACAGTTACAGGGCTGCAGATTTTGGCACATGAAGTACAGCCCTTGCCAAGGCCTCTCAGGGTTCTGTCAGTCACGTCAACAGAAAGGGGTTAATCTTTACTCTTTGAAGGCTACCCCGGGTACATACATACTCATCTTCAAACAGCTCTTGTACATCAGTTGCACGTCTGATAAAATGCAAACCATGAAAAGACAACATTAAATACTTCTTGTCTACTATCAAATTAAACACAGGATCTTTCTCATGCTAAATTACTTTCATGTTGTGTCTTGGAGGTCTGTCCTGTGTGCAAAACACACTCCTTGTAAAACCCATTGTACGTGGAAGTAAAATACCTTTACTTTTGAAGTGTGATTAGTGATCAAGGACTCAGTCCAACCAAGACTGCAAATATATTTAACTGAAGTGGCTCCTATGAGCTCCTGATACAAAAAGATTACTTCCTAGGTGTAACAGTAACCCTTGCTGCAGCCTTCCCTCTGGAGCCCAGGGAGCTCTATTTTTACATTTCCCATCTCTGCAAGAGCTTTGTAATCCAACATGTTTCATGTCATTAAATGCTGGTGATTCTTTAAACTAACACTTGCAAATAGATGACTTGAGAAGTCACACAGTTTTACATGCAGTGACCTAGCAGGAGAGTCTAAGCAGAACAGTTAGAGAACACGTGACTGAGGCTACAGCAGGTGTGTGTTAACCAGAGAAGGGCCTAGTGGCTGTTCAGAACTCTTTCTAAAACACTGAATATTTAATTCCTGCATTTACAAGTGCTTTATTTTATTAACAACATTATTCATCTTCTGAAAATACCTGTGTGTAACATTAGTCTTTACTGCTTTCTTCACAGTTGTATTGTCTGAAGTTTCACATTTTTTCCTGCATGTTCAGATAGCTAATTAAGATTTTAAAATAGATAAAGCACATGAAAAGCAGCAGTGTTTATATTAAGCAGCAAAGCACAAGCCTCATCATTTAAACCTGTTAGAAAACACCACGACCATATTTCTCTGAGTAAATAAGATAACAGATACAGATTTTCAACAAGTGGAAGAATTAGCAATTATCAATCTCTCCTTCTGCCCCATTCCTAACTTAGTAACAAGCCAGAGCAGTACAGGAAAGAAAAGAAAGCCTTTTAGCAAGAGATCATGTAAATATTTAAATAGATTGTGCTTTGGGGGAGGATAAAAAACAAACAGCTGTCCCTCTGTCCAACAGCACTGCTGACACACTGTGCTTGTCCAAGCGTCTCTTGCCTATTTGCGCAAGGTGAAAGGGAAGGCTCTTTAACCCTGGCTACCTCCAGGGGCTGTTCTTGTGCTGCGAGGTAAACTGCAGCTCCAAGAGCTGGATTCAGCCAACAACACCCCCAGACTCACCAGCTGCTTGTTCACAGGGGATTTGCTTGCTGGAGCTTTGGTCCCCTCTACACTCTTACGTGCTTAGGACGTAAATAAGCAAGGGCTTTGATCCAAATTCAGCAGTGACCATCCCTGTGCCTCACCCCAGGAGTTCCAGTGCTTGAGGCACAAAGGGTCCCACAGCACAGTCTGAAGGCTTGTTTTTGGGGACACAAAACACTGACACACGCTCAGTCTTTTACTGTTCCTGCTGCCATCAGTGGGATAACTCCCAGAGCAAAGCATCAGCAAAAGGACAGCAAGAGAACCTGTACCTATGACACAGAAAATAAATACAAATTGCCTTCAGAACAAAGTTTGTTTGAAAGGGAACCACAGCTCGCTAGGTGGCACAGCTTATCTGCCTATACCTGTGGTTAGCACTGCTCAGAATGTACAAACAGTACTGAACTTGTTCTCTCCTTGTTCTCTGTACCCAACCACTAACAAAATGTTTCCATTCATTCCTAACACACTACCACCAGTTTTGTGTGTTTAGAGCAAGAGTCAAACTGAATTCTGCTTCAGGAGGCTTATCAACTCGTGCAAGTCATAAATGGCCCCATAAATAAAGCAGTGAGATCTGAAGAACCTCTATTTGAATTTACTCCCATAAAACACACCCATCCTTCCAGTACCAGTTCTTCTCAACTGACTGCAGTTGTTTGGCCTCCTGAGGGCAGAGGACACCTTCTCAGTAAGTCCAAGGCACAACGTCAGCCAAATGAGTTTTTTCATTTCACACTCCATCCTTGCTCCCACACACCCTTAAGAGTTGCAGAAACAGAAGAGGACCAAAGTACCATCAAACAGACTTCAAGATTTAGGGGCATCTCCTTCTCCAAAATCAATGTTCGCAGAATTAAAGTGTTGTTTAGGATCCTTGAACCATTTCCTCACCAATACCTTCTCAGAAACCTTTAGATCATACACCTGTACCACAGCCTTTCATCCTCAGAATATAATCTTCCCATAAATAAGCACCAACATGAAAATCACACCTCTCCTTTATATGCTGACCAAACCATCTTGCACCTGCTTTTAAATCAAGTCTGAATCCTGCCTCAGCTTTGCCCAGGAAAAGGAAGGTCTGCGTACAAATGTGCACAGAATAATACAAACGTTCTGCTTCGTACCTGGCTACTTCAGAGCTTGTTTTTTGAGAAAAAGGTAGTGTGAGAAATGGCATTTGCACCTTTTTTTGGGTTGTTAATACCTGAAAGAACCAGAAACCCCTCCCCTACAAACACACATACCACCTGTAAAATAATCCCTTTTGAAGCCAAAAACCACTCATCAACAATTTTAACACAAAGCTTTTTAAAAGCTGTTGTTACCAAGACCTGCCAGGGAGAAATTCTGCCCATCCGGGTCTTGCCACTAAACTCTGGGCTTCTGCTGTGTTCAGTTCACTAAGACTACTCTGCAAATAGCTTGTAGGGACATTAAATGAAGCACAAATTAAATTTACATCCATCAAGCTTACATCAAAATTTTACGTTGACAGAAGAAACACCAGGAAAGTGGCCAAGCTCTACCCAGGCAAGACCTGCAGGTAGAGGGAACGACCTCTAGGGCAGCCCAGGTGTGGTACCTCAGGTTGCTGCAGGGGTGCCCACAGCGGGGCGTCCAGGCCGCAGGGATTGTCAGCGCAGTGCGAGCACCAGCAGAGGTCACTGGGAAAGCAGCCCCCTGCAGCCACCAGGGCTCGCTGATGTGCCAAGAACTCATTAACGAAAGCCATCCCAGCACCCCCCAGCTCCTGCCGTTACCATCAGGCCTC